ACATTTTTTAATGTTTGCAAAATTCATATCAAAGTTTTTGAAAATATTTTCAATAGCAATAAAAAGCAAGAAAACATTAAGAAATATATTATGGGCCAATGCGTAAAATGCACTCGAGAGAGCGATTATTCACCGTGGTTCAAAGAATCAGATGAATTTTTTGTACATAAAATTAGCATGTTGGACAAATTAATAAGAGTTTTGCTTTATAAACATTGCAAGTGGCTAGTTACTCCAGACAAAGTAAAAACCACTAATAAACTTAATATTCTTCGTCACAAATAGTATTAATTTTGGTATATTTTTTGGGAAAATTAGTTAATTTTTATATAGAGAAAAACAAAAAAAAAGATAAAAATAAGTAAACTTGCACTGAGTGAGGCTTGAACTCGCTTAATTTCGCTTTGCAGTCAGCCACTTAGTACGCTGCGCCACGGGCTTAGGAGACATAAAATCGTCAATATGTCACTTTGATTCTTTTAATGCGACAGAACATACGAAAAAACGCACTCACACAACCAAGCGCTCAAACACGGACAAGACAACGCACACATAGACAATAGAGCTGGGAAAAAATCGATTTTCGCAGAATCGATTCTTTTCGATCTTTTAGACAAAAACATTGATTTAATCGATTAAATCGAATATAAACACTTTTTTTTTTTGAGATCCATTGTTTTCTTTTATTGCTCCAGAACCCACTGATTCCTGCCCGCAAATAACAATTTGTTTACGTTGTTAGCCTTTAAGGAGTCTCGTCTATCTGATATGAGTATTCCAGCTACAATTCCATTGTAGTAAGCATCCAAAGTCTTAGCTGCCTTTGGTTTGTCCATCAATGTTGGGTGCGCACGTTTTAAGTGGTTGAATGAATTCGTCGTATTCCCACATGATTTGTATATTCCAGCGCATTGTTTACATTTTGCGTTTCAATCTTGCAAGCGCTTAAAGTAGTTCCATACGGTTGACCTACCACATTTCTCTTTCCTCGATGGCTCGTCATTCTCTTCCGAATCGGACTCATTTTTTTCGCCATGAGTTCTTTTTCCTAATAAAAAAATGTGAAAACACGTGCGCATCACTGCATTTTGTTAATATTTCAACTGCAAAAACATATCCATTCTACTCCTTTCCTACCGGATTACCAGCACACTCGGATTCTACACAAATAAAATGCAAAAATATTGTATAAATATTCTTTTAAAGTTACATTTTATTCTTACCCTTTTGCTTCACTCAAGTTCGCATTCAATTGTGGTAAATTGGAGATGGAATTTTTTTTTAGTGGTCGCAAAGAAACATCGATTTCCAAAAAAAGAATCGATGTTTCCACCAAAACCAAAGAATCGATTATATCGATGTTTGAATCGATTTTATCCCAGCTCTATTAGACAAATCGAAAATCCACGCTAAAAATTTAGTGTGCTTTTCAGCAGAATGGTCGTTACGCATCTTGTTGTGTTATAGAGTCTTTGGTACTACCACAGGCCCTAATAGCTTTACTGGCAGCAGTACCATATCAATTAAATTGCCAATCGTCGATAGTCGTTGATTAAGCAGCGATCAAAAATATCTGTATGACATTTGCTCCGGAGTTTCAGCAGGCACAGTCTCACAAAACTTGGGCTAGCAGAGACCTAGGGACTCTGGCACATTCACGTTGGCTTACTTGCGCAAACAGGATTCTTCGTGTATACATCAGAACCGCAACGCAAATCTCTAAAAGATCTGGCCTCTTTCGTTATGAAAGTATACGCACCAACCTGGTTTGACATCAAAACGAAGCCAAATTTGAAGTATGGCCCCGTGCACATTTTTAACATGGTTAAAAGGTGTTTATATTTGAGAGATGGTCTAAACAGCATTGTTTTGAAAACAATACAAAGAAATTCTTTTTTCGCTCATCCAGAAAATATTTAAATGGCCCTGTTACATCATGATGCATCTCATATAAGGGAACTGGCTATCCGAAAGATACTGAAGGCATGTAAGGAGGCAAAAACAATTCAAATTCGTGACTTTTATGTTCCAGATCTTCAAGTTCATGCGTCAATTTAATTTAATAGATTGGGCGAAAGAAAAAATAACAGAGCCTCCGATGACAATGATGTATAGAGACAGCGACTGATTTCCTACAATTTGATAAGTTTCCTTGCCATACTCAAGCTTTAGAAAGATGTGTGAAGCTAGTGACAGAGGCTCCACTGTCTATATGTGGACCAGAAGCTAGGGATGGGTTCATTCGTACCCGAAAAAAGCAAGGAAAGAACTACCACTGTTTGAGACAAAATTTTCAAATTTTTCAACCAAAATAATATACAGAATACTAAGTACTTTAAGCTAATTTAATTTAAATTTCGTTATTTTGCCTTTAATACTATTAACTTTAAGATAAATACACGAAAATAATCATTAAAAATACATGAAACACATTTTTTTTAGTATGTCTCATACTGGGTTGTTTCGCCAAATTAAAGTCGAATGCGGAACCGTTAGATATTTTTTTTAAAACTTTAAATTTTGCAAGATACTTTTAAGAGTAGGGATCATCGATTGGTAATACAGGAAAAAAGAATTAAAAAAAAAACAAATTTATCCGGCCTAGTGCACAGGCTATACCACATGTGTTTTTCCAAACGTCAAATAATGTTTAATCAGCCGTTTACGAACTGTCACATCACTGGCAAAGCGATTTACAATTTGAATGTTGAAGGCATGGTGTTGCCTTCGACCATCGCCGACCATCCTCTAAAAGACAATTGTCGCGGAACGGATTAGCTCTAACGATCGATAGTATTTGCATCTAGTATTTTTGAAGAGATTAGGTATTTGGGTGACCTGCGGTCATGTTTCCCGCTTCGGTTTATTCCGAATGACGAGACCAAGAGAGTAGGAGGAAAGACTGCGGTATGTTATAACTAAATAGTTGAGGTTAGACCTAAGCCAATGTATTTCACCCCTACAGAATAAAACACACCACACATCATATGGTGCACACGCACATATCATTTACGCTACGAGATCTGGTATTCTTGTTTCGGTGTCGATATACTGAAGTGTTGAAGGCAAATCCTACGCGGTCATCGTCGGTCGGCGTCATCTCTTTTATTCGCAGGCAAGGGCAAGTAAAGGGCAAGAGGCAGCCGTAAGGAAACCCGTTGGAAACGGAGTTAGCGGTTCTGGAGTGAGCGGTGCGGCGAATACACCGCCATGTTTGAGTGAAGAGCGGCAGATACTGAGTGCAAATCTACCGCAATGTTCGAGTGAGAATTTGATGCCAGATTTATCCGAGAGAGTGACGCCATCTTTAGATGCACAGTTTCCGTTCCAATTGAGTGGAAGTTTGCCGCCACAATTGAGTGGAAATTTGGCAATAGGGCGACAAGTCACACTGAGCGCAAACTGTACAACGATGAGCTACTCCACGCCATATTGTGTTACGGCAACGGTGCTGCCAGAACAAAGTTACGTGCAGGCACCACGAGCGCCACAACACAACTTTATGATGCCCACAAATTCGCTTGGGTCATATGGAGCAGCATCGCCTACGTTGTCAAATGGATGGACGCCGCGTCGATTGCCTGATCTTCCTGAGTTTGAAGGTCAGCCAGAGGAATGGCCTATATTCCAATGCGCGTTCATGGAGACAACGGCAGCGTATCACTGTACAGCGCTGGAGAACAACCAAAGGCTAGTGAAGGCTCTGAAGGGTGAAGCGCGAGAGTCAGTTAAATCGCTGCTCATACACCCGAACAACGTTGCAGCTGTGATGGAGCAGCTGAAATTTCGATATGGACGTCCGGAGCAACTGATACGTAGCCAGCTGGAGAGCGTGCGAGATGTACAAGCAATTCAGAACACAATCTAAGCAAGCTTGTGCCATTTGCTACACGAGTCAGCAATCTCGCAGCGTTCCTACGGTCAACCACGGACGGAGTCCAGCACTTGAGTAATCCTACCCTGATGGAGGAGTTGATTTCTAAGTTGCCCCTGAGCAAAAGGTTGGACTGGGCTAGGCATGCTGCAGCAATAGGATCGTACCCAACGGTCTTGCACTTGAGCGAGTGGCTGAATGATCTCGCTAAACTGGTGTGTACGATCACGGATGCCGGGAGCAAGGATCCCAAACGGCAGGTACTGCATGCTAGCACAAGTCACATGGATCAGCAACGGCACAGCGACCGCACCAAGTGTTGCCCAATATGTGAAGGGCAGCACACGATCCAAGACTGCAAGGATTTCATCCATGCTTCTCCAACATCCCGAAATAGCGGTGATGCACGGGCTCTGAAGATTCTCCAGGAGACGACCAAACGTACGGGCCAATGATTCCAAACTGGTCTGCTATGGAAGGAGGACGACACGAGTTTGCCAAACAGCTACAACATGGCTATCAAGAGACTGGTCAACATCGAGAGGAAAAGGCGGCGTGATGCGAACTTCGCGCAGGCATACAATGGAATCATGGATGACTACGTCAAGAAGGGATACGCACGACGGCTAGAGCAGCAGGAAGTCACTTCAGTCAACAGTGACAATTTCTGGTACCTGCCGCACTTCGGGGTCGAGAACCCAAACAAGCCCGGGAAGATTCGTCTGGTGTTTGATGCGGCCGCCAAGGTTGGTGGAGTGTCCCTGAATTCAGCTCTGCTTAAAGGTCCACAGCAGTACAAATCGCTCCCAGCCGTGCTCTTCCACTTTCGGGAAGGAGCAGTGGGAGTATGCGCAGACATCAAGGAGATGTTTCATCAGGTGTTGATACAGCCACAGGACAGATGTGCCCAGAGATTCCTGTGGAGGAATGGAGACGACCGGCGGGATCCAGACCTGTACGAGATGGAGGTGATGACGTTCGGAGCCGCATGTTCGCCGTGCTCAGCGCACTACGTCAAGACCCTAAATGCCTCAGGGTACCTCCACACAGATCCCCGCAAGGTGCTGGCCGATTCTCTTCCAGTTCGGAAAGTGTGGTCAAGGCTTTGAACCCACAAGGATCCAATATGAATGTCGAATGGACCGAAGCTGAGGAGAAGATACTGGGCATGTTCTGGCAGCCGGCTACAGATGACTTCAAATTCAGCGTCAAGTACCATCTGGTGGCCAGCAGCGTGATGACCGGGGAACGTGTCCCCACCAAAAGGGAGTTCCTAAGCCTCGTCATGTCTACCTTTGACCCGATTGGATTCTTGAGCTGCTACCTGGTGACCGCCAAAGTTCTGATGAGAGAGATTTGGCGGAGAGGAGTGGACTGGGACGAGCCGCTGCCAGCAGAATTGGCCACAGCGTTTGAGAGCTGGCGGCTAGACATGAACTACGTGAGAGGATTTGGCGTCGGATGCGTGCGGGATCTGCAGTTGCACGTCTTCGTGGACTCAAGCCAATCGGCGTTCGCTGCGGTGGCTTACTGGAGAGCCACATATGATGACGGCAATGTGCAGGCACATTTTGTATGTTCCAAAACGAAATGTGCCCCGATGAAAACCATGTCGATACCACGACTGGAACTTCAAGCAGCCGTACTGGGAACGAGACTGATGGACACCGTAAAAAGGGAGCACGGTGTATCGATCAGCAGCTGCGTACTCTGGACCGACTCCAAAACGGTTCTGCACTGGATAAGCAGCACCCACCGGCGCTACAAGCAGTTCGTTGGAAACCGGGTGGCGGAGATCTTGGAGTCCACAGAAGCATCCCAATGGAGATGGATACCGTCTGCCGAAAACGTGGCAGACGATGCGACGCGGCCGCAAATCCACGTGGATCTGGATCAAGGATCACGTTGGCTATGTGGGCCTCCCTTTCTACGGGAACCTGAGGACGAGTGGCCGAAATCTTCTTCGGGTGATGGTGGCTACCCGCGAACCGCGGATGAAGAAAAGATGCCATGTGAGTTTGCGCTGGTTATAGCAAACTCCTTTATATCTTTCCAGAGGTTCTCAAGATACAACCGATTGGTCAGGGCCACTGCCTGGGTCCTCCGGTTTATCCGACGGTGTCGCGGACACCGTGAGAATAGCGACGAGTACGGGCTAACTGCGGCTGAGTGCGCCGAGGCAGAGCGCACGCTGATCCGGCTGGCGCAAACTGAGGCGTTCGCTGAGGAGACGCAACGGAAGACTGTCACAAAGGACAGCCAATTACGAGGGCTGTCGCCATACGTCGACGAAGACGGAGTCATGCCATTCAGTGAGCGGCGCCCAATCATACTGTCGCACAAACACGCACTGGCAGAGATGATCGTCGGTCATTACCACGATAAGATGCGGCATCAAAACCTGGATGCGACCATATGCGAGATCCGGAAGAGGTTCTGGATAACCAACTTGCGGAGGTTACTACGGAGGGTGGTAACCAATTGCTACATCTGCAAACTGCGAAGAGCATGACCCAGACAGCCAATGATGGGTCCCTTGCCAGAGGACCGGCTCGAGGCCTATGGATGGCCATTTAAGTAAACCGGCCTGGACTATTTGGGGTGGTGACGATTGGACGTCGAACGGAGAAGAGGTGGGTCGCACTGTTCACCTGCCTAACTACAAGGGCCATCCACTTGGAAATGGCACATGATTTGTCGACAGCTTCGTGCATCATCGCGATGAGGAACTTCATGTGCCGCCGTGGACCTGTGGTCAGGATGAGAAGCGACAACGGAAAGAACTTCGTCGGTGCTGACAGAGAGGCCAGGAAATTCAACGAAGTCTTCGAACCGGAGAAGATCCAGGGCGAACTGTCGTCCAGAGGAGTCGAATGGATCTTCAACTGTCCGGCGAACCCAGCTGAGGGAGGCGTCTGGGAGAGAATGGTCCAGTGTGTCAAGAAGGTGCTGGCGCATACTGTGAAGGAGGTGGCGCCTAAGGAGCATGTGCTGGCAAGCTTCCTGATTGAGGCGGAAAACATCGTCAACTCGAGTCCGCTCACACACTTGCCAGTCACGGTTGATCAGGAAGCCCCATTGACACCGAACGACCTGCTGAAAGGAGCAGCCGGCGTACCGGACCTTCCAGGAGACGTTAGTCAGTCGCCTAAGAAGTTCGCCACAAGGAAACAGTGGCGGATTGCCCGGATGATAAGAGATCGGTTCTGGAAACGCTGGGTACATGAGTACCTACCAACGCTTGTACGCAGGGAGAAGTGGTGCGAGCACGTCGAGCCAATGCGTCGTGGAGATCTCGTGTACGTATGCGATCCTGCCATACCAAGGAGAGAATGGAGGCGAGGCCTCGTTGAGGAGGTGTATGCTGGAGTGGACGGAGTACCACGACGAGCGGCGGTGCGCGTGGCCAGTGACGATCGATCCAAGCTTATGATGCGTCCCGTCTCCAAGTTAGCTGTACTGGATGTGGTGAATGCAGCTGCTTCACGGGGGTCGGGATGTCGCGGAACGGATTAGCTCTAACGATCGATAGTATTCGCATCTAGTATTTTTGAAGAGATTAGGTATTTGGGTGACCTGCGGTCACATTAAAGTTAAGAAGTCAAGCCATGTTTCCCGCTTCGGCTTATTCCGATTGACGTGACCAAGAGAGTAGGAGGAAAGACTGCGGTATGTTATAACTAAATAGTTGAGGTTAGACCTAAGCCAATGTATTTCACCCCTACAGAATAAAACACACCACACATCATATGGTGCACACGCACATATCATTTACGCTACGAGATCTGGTATTCTTGTTTCGGTGTCGATATACTGAAGTGTTGAAGGCAAATCCTACGCGGTCATCGTCGGTCGGCGTCAACAATTTTTTATATACAAAATCGACTATCAGTCTACTTCTTATAGTTAATTGGATTAAGTACAATAGTGAGAGTGCACACAGCTTAGTTTTCACTCCCATTTTACCTCCTGCCTTAACTCTGAGGTCTTCTTCTGGACCGAGCAATGATTTCTTCAACGTTCCAAAATCAAAAGTACCGCTATGTCCAAAACTTTCTTTCATCAAATTCTTCGATATCTAAATTGAGCTTGCGGGTGGTGGCTTATTTAAATTAATTTGTTTCATTTTTTCATTTTAAACGAGAAAGAACGTGTGAGTCGTTTCTGGGGACACGACTCTACTTATACCCGTACTCAGTCAGCATATACATTTTTGAGCTTATGATTTTTTAGAATTTTAGAAAAAAAATTTTACATTTTACATTTTTTTGCTACATCTGCTATCTACATATACAATGTCTATTCTACATCTAACATGTAGATTGTACATGTTCCATTCATATTCTACATCTCCACCGCTAGGGGTTGCTCGCGCACTGAACGCGGCGGAGTGTGCGAGCGAGAAGGAAAATGAGTTGTGTTGTCGTGGGCGGGAGGGGGAGGGGAAGCAACTGAAAATTTCTTCATTCTGGCTATAATTATGATCCGATCTGATTCAGATTCAGATTCAGATTATCTTTAAAAATGTGCCTGCCACAGATTTTCGTCTTTTGTGGGGGCGGGGCGAAATTTTGAAATACACTTGTAGCAGTGGGATATCACATGAGTCTGGAAACCAAATTTGGTTGCCCTAGCTCTTATAGTCTCTGAGATCTAGGCGCTCAACAAGACAGACAGACGGACAGACGGACAGACGGACAGACAGACATTGCTATATCGACTCGGCTATTGATGCTGATCAAGAATACATATACTTTATGGGGTCGGAAACGTTTCTTTCTCTGCGTTACACACATCCACTTTTACCACAAATCTAATATACCCCTTAACTCTTTTTTGAGTACGGGTATAAAAATTAATTAACCCAGCACTACTATTTCATTGAACAGCATATATTATGGTTAGTTGTCTAAAGTCATGAAAAACAAGAAAATGAATTGCAAATGTAGCGGGGTTTCTTCGAGTTTATAATGCTTACATTCCAGGCTTTCCGTAAAGGTATCACATATTCAATTTTAAAGACTAGAAATATCTCAAAAAAAGCTTTGAGAGTAGTGACTTGCGGCACTACCATTTCATTGAACACAACTGTAGGAGCCTCAGCGGAACAGAGGTGACAAAAGTCAAAGAATTTAATGAGCGCTTTGGATAAAATAAATAAACTAATCAGAATTTCCAGAGCTTTCGAAAATGAAATTTTCAAAATATTCAGTATTAATGTTTAGGAGATGTAAGCAATAAAAGTTGCAAATTTTTTCCGTTTCATAGAAAGTTCTAGACTGACTTCAAAGCGAAAAATATGTTGTTGTTGTCTATATGCTGCAATTGTGTAAGAACGAGGTTTTGAGCGTGTTAAAAGGGGGAGGGATCAAATGTATAGCCGTGCAAGACTGAGTTTGTGTTAAAATAAGTCGTGTTATGCGAGGGCCGCAATTTTGAACGAAAAAAGTTAAAAATAAGATTTATATGAGATATACAATACATATACATTAGGCTGGACCAAAATTTGACAACAAATTTGTTATGATCCGCCTTTTTGCCGCCCTGGTATATCGCTCCCAGCTAGCTCTCGGGTAAGTCAGGGGTGTTTTCGACCCGATACCCAGGGGACGGATTTAACAAAAATTATATATTGAAACATACAAAAAAAACACAAATCAAACATTCTTCCTGGTCTCGTCTTCGTTTGCACTCTCTTTAGCGGGGGCAGCCGGTATTCTTACCCTTAGCTAGGCCCTCCCTTCCATGAGCGTTTTCGAAATCTGCGCTCCCATTTTTATACCCGTACTCAAAAAAGAGTTAAGGGGTATATTAGATTTGTGGTAAAAGTGGATGTGTGTAACGCAGAGAAGGAAAATTTTCCGACCCCATAAAGTATATATATTCTTGATCAGCATCAATAGCCGAGTCGATATAGCCATGTCTGTCTGTCCGTCCGTCCGTCCGTCCGTCCGTCCGTCTGTCCGTCTGTCCGTCTCGATGAGCGCCTGGATCTCAGAGACTATAAGAGCTAGGGCAACCAAATTTGGTTTCCACACTCATGTGATATCACACTGCTACAAGTGTATTCAGAATTTCGCCCCGTCCCCTCCGCCCCCACAAAGGACGAAAATCAGTGGCAGCCACAATTTTAAAGATACGATAAGACTAAAAACGCAGTATAGTAGAGAATGCCCATATCTACCAGATTGCCGAATCTGAATCAGATCGGATCATAATTATAGCCAGAATGAAGAAATTAATTTTCAGTTGCTTCCCCTCCCCATCCAACCTCAAACGACAACGCAACTCATTTTCCTTCTCGCTCGCACACTCTGCCGCGTTCAGTGCGCGAGCAACCCCTAGCGGAGGAGATGTAGAATCTAAATGGTACATGTAGAATATACATGTTAGATGTATAATATAAATAGTATATGTAGATGTAGATAACAGATGTAGCAAAAAAATGTAAATTTTTTTTTTTTAAGTTTTAAATAATTATATGCTTAAAAATGTATATGCTGACTGAGTACGGATATAAGTAGAGTCGCGTCCCCAGAAGCGACTCACACGTTCCTTCTCGTTTTTATCTTGGTTTCGCCCTCTTCCCCGCTCTCGACTCACCCAACTACAGGTATCTACTCACTCTTTTTTTTTCTTTTCAATGCATAGTTTATATTATCTCATTAATCCTGCCTAATATTAAACATTAATTCCTTTTTTTTTTAATTTGAACTTATAAATAGAAAAAACTAAAAACACTGACAAACCAAAAATACTAGCAAAAGAAAATACGAAATCTATTCCGCCCCAGTTGGCAGCCCCATTTCATCGACAACAAATTAACATGAATCAGCTGAAAATTAATGTACATAAACGATCTTAAACTAAAAAGAGCTCTTGTTAGTGCAATAAATAAATAGGGAAGGGGGTGTCGTTCGGGGGAGGGAATAGTCTCCGTTTACGAATTTTTTTTTTTTTAACGAAAATCTAATTTATTTTATAGCTGTTTTTATTTCTTTCTTCTCCTTTTTTCTTTTTAGTCTTTTTTTTTTGTTTTGTGTAACTACTTGTGCGTTTGGAAAAACGTGGATATCATATATGTGTTTGACTTGAATGTGCCGGGAAAGGTGTTGGTTTGAGGTTTGGATATGTGTACGTGCGGGTTTTGGGTTAATGTGATGTGTGTGAGGTGGGCGAGTGTATCCCCATTGTGGTGATGTAGATCCGGCTCCTCCTCCAGGGGCTCTCCGGCCTGGTGTCGGCTGTGTCTGCTACTGCCGCCTCCTCCTTCCTGCGCCGTCGTCGTCCCCGTTGTTTCCTCGTAATGGCCGGGCTTCGTTCCCCCTGCCTTCGTGGTCACTGTGTTTTCTACGTTTTCTTTTTTTGTTCTGAATTATTTTCTTTTTTTGTCAACACACGTGTGCCTCGTTTGAACCTTTTCCGGAAACTGATCCTCGCAATCTAACCTTCACGGCCTCGTTTTTTCTTCTCCAGCCTTGCCACCTTGCTCCCTCCTTGCAACCCTGTTCCAGCCTCCCAGGATCCACAACAGAGGCCGCTGTCTCCTCTCCTTCTCCAGCCCTGTCAGCAAACGGCTCCTTCAAAAAGGCGTCCATAACACCACACTCCCGTTTAAAGGTCCTGCCGTCGAAACGGGAGTGCAAAACCAAGGCGGCGTCTGGATTCTATACGCCAAACGTAGGCCATCGCCCAAACCCTGAGATCGCGAGGCTCATGCTCTACCGACTGAGATGACAGGGCTACTGTTTGAGATCCTTCGCATGGAACACTCCTAGCCGTGCCCCTTGTAGCGTCTTCAGTTCGTACAAGCTGTTTCCGATGCTCCGGACCACTCTGCACTTAATATACTTCGGGCGGAACTTTTTTTTTTTTTGGTATTTAATCGCTAAAGCGAATAGAGTGGTCGCACGACGATGAATCTGCAATGACCAGATACTTCAGTTGGTATGGTGCTATCGATGATTTGTTGTGGAGGGCATGCACGGTGTTGCTTTTCGATGATTCCAAGGTTTTGTTGATGAGGGCATGCACGGTGTTGCATTAAGATGATGTTCTCGGTGATATTAATTTTACAAAGTAATGTTAGGTGTAATGATTTTAACAAAGTACATTAGATTGGTGTTAACGGTGTAGGTAATTATTCAGTATAATATTTAGTTTAAAAGTGTATTCGTGTGCGTGAGTTTTACAAGGAAATTAATAATAAAATGTCAATTATACAATGTAAGGGTTAGAAAGTGTAGTGTGTATGTTTTAATGTTTACGTTTTACAGGTATTCTAAGATTAAAGTGATATGTTTGCTTGAGATTAGTTTGTATGAAAATTATCACAGAAAAAAAGCAACAGAAGGTTGCTCCAGAGAGTAGGAACAACAGAAGGCTGCTCCTCAAAGTGACTTCCGATAGCACCGAGTTGCCTGACCTGAATTAATCCCATGTGCTTTGATTCAAAACTCCAAATTGGCCTCATCAATATATTTCGCCAATTCTCTAAAGAAAAGAGGCTCTTTTGTGAGTAATAACTCCTTGATGTTATTAAATCGCTTGAAAATCTTGTACTTTTTCCTAATACTGGCATGTCTCTGGCAGTAGAAAATTTCGTGTTCCGCATCATCGAGAACACTGCAAACTTCACAGATGTTGGAATTTCTGGCTTTGATCCTATGTAAAAAGACGTGATCATAGGTACGTCCAATAAGTAGTCTGTTTATGACCTTTATATTTTTGGCACGCCAGTCAAGAGCCCAGTGCCACGGTTTGACTGGAATCTCGCTATAAATTGAAGCAAAATACGCCCCTTTAATTTTTGATATTTCTTTATACTCATTATTCCAGTCGATCTGGACTCTAATCTTAACTGTTCTAATTACTTCATCGAAGCTGAGAGGTATGTTAACTATTCTACCCACGCTAGTGGCTGATTTGGCTAGTAAGTCAGTCTTTTCGTTAATAGCAATGTTCTTATGACCGGGTATCCAGTGCAAAACAAAGTTGCTAGTGAAGGAATTGTCTATATTGAGGTGTGTTTCGTCTGTTAAGTATGAATTTGATTCATTGCTTTTCAGAGCCTTTAAGGCCCCTTGACTATCACAGAGAATAACAGTTTTATTATATCTTTTTTTACTTGATATCTTTACTGCTGTTAGTATTCCTACAAGTTCTGCAAAAACAGAAGAGGAATTATTTTCAATCTTAAATTTATAGCTGTTGTTACTAGGGTAATCCAAGATACCTATACCTATCCTATCACCATTGATGGAGGCATCAGTGGAAAGAATGTTCCACCCATCTAACACCCACTCTTCAAGCTTGGCTTGAAATATGGCATTACATTCTTCGTTTGAGATGTCTTTTTTTTTCCTGTCAAAGACTGAGAAACAAATTGCAGCTTTAGGACTGTGTTTGTATTTTTTATTTTCAGTATAATTGTCGAAAAGGTCCCTAAATTCTTGGTACACGGCTGTGTAAGCAGTCCTTGCGTTAGACAGAGTGATATTATCATAAAGAGTCGGATTTAGCACTTTAACCTTAAGCAGTTCTCTGACTGTAAGAATCTTAGCTCTGTGTTTAGGCGGTAAAATACCAGCCAGAGCAAAAATCAGGTGCGTAGATGTTTTTGGAGGGACACCCACACATCGGCGAAGGCCGTCTGTGCACAGTGTAGTCTGTGCAGTATTAAGAGATTTGCTATTGCCAATGTTTAGATTTGAAAAACTGGTAATGGCGTGCTCCTGCTGAAATCTGATGAAAGATTTGAAGATGTTGCAAGAGATTTTGGGTTTGAGACCTGATTTAATGGTGGTTACAGCATGTAGCAGAAGCTGACTTTTGTCTGACTTGTCCCTGATTTTTGCAATGTGCAATTTGTCTGACATATTGGCACTAAGGACTCTGCCTAAAAAGGTGATGGATTCCTTTATCGGAAAACTGCTATTATTGCATGCTACCGAGATGTTGTTACGTCTTCCCCTCCCAGCAACCATAACTGCAGATTTGCTGGGATTGAAATTAAGACCTAGATCCTGACAGAGCAAATGAAAGTTATCGACCTTTACCTGTAAGTTGTTCCTAGCTTCAGTTATGTTGTACCCAGTTGAGATGATGGCAAAATCATCAGCAAACTGAATTACAGTCGTATGGCAATCATTGATTTGATGCAGCCTTTTGGTGTACAGATTGAAAAGTATAGGCGAGAGGCAGGAGCCTTGAGGCAAACCACCATTGACTTCTTTAATGCAGTCACCAAGTTTTAAGAATCTTGATGAGAAGAAATTAACAATCCAATCTGTATATTGCGTAGGAATGTGTTCATGATCCATTAACATTTGTAGGGTTTGTAGATTAACACAGTTATATGCATTATCTATGTCTACAACAACAGTTACAACCGATTTTCCCCGTTTTTTCTCATGGGCCATGGTATTGATAAGATCATTTATACACATGGCTGCTGATTTGCCTTTTTGGTATGCATAAGTCCGTCTGGGCATGGTATTGTGTTCTTCTAAGAACATATCGAGTCGATTCTTAATCATTAGATTAAGAGTTTTAGCCAACACAGAGATGAGCGAGATAGGGCGATAGTTTTGATAAATGCTGAGATCCTTACCGCGCTTTGGGATGGGAATGACTTTGATGGAACGCCATTGATCAGGGACTCTACACTTTGTAAATAGCTTGTTGTATTCTTGTATAAGATTGTTCTGTGCTGGACTACTGAGTGCTTTTACCATATCATATGTAATTCCGTCTATACCTCCCGCAGTGTTTCTGCCTCTGTTGAGAACAGCAGACAGGTCACTCAAGTCAAAAGAATCAATGTTCAGAGAAGTTTTTCTAGGAAAATATGTTTGAACTTTCGCTGATACAGAGACTTGTCTTCTAAGAAACTCAAGGTACGGAGAAGACCATTCTGAACTAAAGCTTGATTTTAAAGGATCATTGAAGGACTTGATGTTCCTCAAGAAAAGCCAGGCTTTCCTTGAGTTTGGCTGTTGATTGAGTAGATCAATTTTGTTGGCATACGAGTTCTTTTTTGCAAGCTTTACTGCCTTTTTCCATTCTGTTTTCAGGTTAACCACTCTTATATAGTTGTTCAGACTTGGAGCTCTCTGTGCCAGGATTTGTGATTCTGTATATTTGGAGTGCAGCAGCTGTAATTCTGGATTCCACCAAGCTTTGGGGCATCTAATGTTGCTTAAGGCATAAGTTGAGACCCTAATACTGTTTGTTAGGCTATTCGTGATGTTTGATATATTTCCTGCTAGCGTAGCACCTGCAAGTCTTCTAAGGAGTCTGTTTTTGGCAAGAAAGAGCCTCGGCTTCTCTTTGGTTTCTGGTATTATTATTGAGATAGGGTGATGGTGGCTGCCTCCAACAAAAGTGGAATTACAGCTCCAAGTGATATTTTCACAGCAGTTTGTGAATGTTAGATCCAAAACAGAACCGCTTTGACTGTCGATATGACGTCTAAAGGTGCAGTTTCCATCATTTAAACACTTATAGCCAGAATTACTCATATAGTCTTCCAGAAATCTACCCTTGGCATTCGTGACGTAGTCACCAAAGCAGGTGTTTTTTGCATTGAAATCTCCAGCAAAAATCACGTTGCTCCTGCCATCAAGCTTTTCAACAATGTCTTGAATTACATTTTTAAAAGTATCTGTCTTCATTGAAGGTTCAAAGTAGACTGAGACAATGGTAAAGTTTTTGTTTAAGTTGCATGTTTTGGCGATGAGAACATCATGATCTGAGTTGTAGACTTCCTTTTTAAGTTTTATACCGTTTTTAAAAGCAATGGCTACTCCACCGTAACCATCATCTCTATGTTTTTCAATAAGATCATAATTGATCAGTTTTCTATAGGTAGTATCATGAGAAAAAACTTCGGGAGAAAATAGCAATGCTATATTCACCAGAGTTAAGGGTATATTCTATGTCATTTTTATTGTTTTTAAGAGATTGGACATTGAGCTGTAAGATTTTAACAGTCATTATTATGTAAAATGTCTATATTCTTCCCTACATGCTGGTTGCTGTGATGCGAGCTACCCTGTAGGACTTTTCCTCTGATGTTTTGAAGAATATTAGTGCCGTTAGCTGACAAGAGCAGTACAGGAGTGATAAGTTCAAGAATTTCTTGAACTATAGTGCTGTTGACACTACTTAGAGTGTCCCCATTTTCCTTGTTGGGAAATTTATAGGCATGATCACTGGAGTCATTAGTGTATGAATCTAGTGAGAAGTGCGGTTTTTGTTTCGCAAAGCCTACAGTTCGTTGAACAAGTCTGCTGCTATAGGAGTGCTTTTTTAAAACATGGTTAGCTTCTTCATTCTTGTTGATGACTTGGGAGATTTGATCATTTGATTTGGTATTATTTTGATTGAACTGATTTTTGTGGATAATCTGAGGAAATTCTTTGTCGTAGTCAAGATTGCGATCATAGTTTTGTTGGAAAGAAAATTGCTTTAAGGCTTCTTTCCTGGCTAATTTTTTAATGGTCATAATTTTATTTATGTCGACTTCTTTGGCCCATACCTGACATTTGTTTCTCTCAAAAGCATTGTGCCCATCACACTGACACAAGATGCACTTGTTAATGTTGCAACTTTCATTGCAAGTATTGCTACCACATTTTTTGCAACGCTTTTGTGACTTACAACGTGAGGCTGTATGTCCTAAGCGACCACAATTGTAACACTGTCTAACCGCAGGAATATAATAACTGACTTTTAGCGAGCATATGTCATAAATTTGAACAGACAATAGGGATTTCTGTGCCTGCAAAAGAAATTTTGACAGTCTCAGTTGGTTCAAGAACTACTTCATTCGCTTCATTTTTAGATTTTCTTAAAATGCGTTCAACACTGTTTATTTTAATTATCGAGGAAAGATTGTCAAGAAGTTTTATGTCAGAGATGTTTGTAGGAAATGCCCCTAATGACACCTACGGTTTCAGTGAAGTTCTTTGGAATAAAAATATCGATATTTAATTTTTTTAATTCATCGTTAAGCACAAAAGCATTCGCATCATAAGGGGTATTAAAGTACAGTTTGTATAGAGTCGCTGCAAGGGGGTTTATGCGCTTAAGTCCATCAAGATTTGTATGTTTAATTTTTTCAAAGAGATAAAGGTCACTTTTTATATTTTTATTTTCAAAAATACTGCTACGTTTAGTTGCAAGAAGAACACAGGCTTCTCCTTTAAAAGAGAGCTCATACAGATTTATGTCATGTTGTTTGATTTTACTGTCATTTGGAGACACGCTACCGGCAGCAAATGTATTACTATCTTTGTTTGTATTGGTGCTATTTTCCATTTCGCTTGTATGTACGATTTTTTTCCCGATTGAAATCCTGCCTGAGCCCTGCTATAAACTTTTTGATATCCATAGTCTTGTTTGCAGCGCTCTCAGATGCACGCTTTACTCCTGACGGCCACTATGGTGGCGTCAGCCATCTTCGCTGGTGGTTTCACCAGCCTGCCAGGGACTTACCAGCTTTCTAAATGAAAAGCACTATTAGGACCGACAAAGTATAATAATTAGTTGAAGCTCTTTGATTCAAGAGGTTTTTAGATCTTAAAATCAGAAAAGAAAACAGTCGACGATTGCACATTAAACAAGATTGAACAAAGGGAGTTAAGAAAAAACATTAAACATTAATTCCTTTTTTTTTTAATTTGAACTTATAAATAGAAAAAACTAAAAACACTGACAAACCAAAAATACTAGCAAAAGAAAATACGAAATCTATTCCGCCCCCGGCGCCCCATTTCCTTCGACAACAAATTAACATGAATCAGCTGAAAATTAATGTACATAAACGATCTTAAACTAAAAAGAGCTCTTGTTAGTGCAATAAATAAATAGGGAAGGGGGTGTCGTTCGGGGGAGGGAATAGTCTCCGTTTACGAATTTTTTTTTTTTAACGAAAATCTAATTTATTTTATAGCTGTTTTTATTTCTTTCTTCTCCTTTTTTCTTTTTAGTCTTTTTTTTGTTTTGTGTAACTACTTGTGCGTTTGGAAAAACGTGGATATCATATATGTGTTTGACTTGAATGTGCCGGGAAAGGTGTTGGTTTGAGGTTTGGATATGTGTACGTGCGGGTTTTGGGTTAATGTGATGTGTGTGAGGTGGGCGAGTGTATCCCCATTGTGGTGATGTAGATCCGGCTCCTCCTCCAGGGGCTCTCCGGCCTGGTGTCGGCTGTGTCTGCTACTGCCGCCTCCTCCTTCCTGCGCCGTCGTCGTCCCCGTTGTTTCCTCGTAATGGCCGGGCTTCGTTCCCCCTGCCTTCGTGGTCACTGTGTTTTCTACGTTTCTTTTTTTGTTCTGAATTATTTTCTTTTTTTGTCAACACACGTGTGCCTCGTTTGAACCTTTTCCGGAAACTGATCCTCGCAATCTAACCTTCACGGCCTCGGTTTTTCTTCTCCAGCCTTGCCACCTTGCTCCCTCCTTGCAACCCTGTTCCAGCCTCCCAGGATCCACAACAGAGGCCGCTGTCTCCTCTCCTTCTCCAGCCCTGTCAGCAAACGGCTCCTTCAAAAAGGCGTCCATAACACCACACTCCCGTTTAAAGGTCCTGCCGTCGAAACGGGAGTGCAAAACCAAGGCGGCGTCTGGATTCTATACGCCCAAACGTAGGCCATCGCCCAAACCCTGAGATCGCGAGGCTCATGCTCTACCGACTGAGATGACAGGGCTACTGTTTGAGATCCTTCGCATGGAACACTCCTAGCCGTGCCCCTTGTAGCGTCTTCAGTTCGTACAAGCTGTTTCCGATGCTCCGGACCACTCTGCACTTAATATACTTCGGGCGGAACTTGGCATTGATGTTATTTTTAAAGCTGCTCAACATGAAATTCCGATTGTACACTTCCTGACCAGGTAAGTATCGAATTTCCCTTGCCCTCCGATCATATTGTTTCTTCGATCTCCCGTAGGCCTCATGCGAGTTCTTGCGGACCTCATCGCGGATGATCTCCTGCTGGTCATTCCTTGCCACAAGTGATACTTGCGCATCGTTCAACGCTCCAAGTCTCCGCGCCAATTCGTAGTCCCGCCCGCTGGTGAACATATGCTGTCCGAATAGTACGAAGTACGGTGACGTCCCGATACTCGTAGGTATGGCGCTCCTGGCCGCACACTGTATCTCCGGCAGCTTCTCGTCCCAGCGCGTGTGGTCTTCGCTGACATACGTGCGGATTGCTGCGAGGACAGTTTGCCTGTCCGCCGCGTTTGCCTGCGGTGCATAGTTCCCCGACCTCGTATGCGTTATGCTCATTTTTTCCAAAAATTGGTTAAACTCGGCTGACACGAACTGTTTCCCATTGTCAGTGTGGACCGTTTCTGGGACGCCAAACTGTGCTAAGACCTCATGCTGGAATAGGATCACGGCCGATGAAGTGGCTTTGGACAAGGCCTTCAACCAGACATACTTGACATGTAGTCGAAGACTATGAGAATGACCACATTCCCACCTCGTGTCCTAGGATATGGACCCAGAAAGTCGAGGTAAATCTTCTGCATTGGTCTCTCGGTAACGGTCTCGGCCCCCATCAATGGACGATTAACTTGCGTCGTGTGTTTCGTTTCTTTACAGGTACCACACTCTGCGACATACGCCTTCACCTGCACCGCCATCCGGGGCCAGTAATAACACTGCCGCAGTCATCCCGGTGTCCTCGCGACACCTCCATGCATTGCCACGTCGCTATCGTGTGCCTCCTGGATCAGCGTGTTCGTCAGTGCTTCTGGAATCCACTGCTTCCACTAGAACTCCTCCAACTCTGGCCGGGCAAATTGTTTACGCCTAAACAGCAGGCCATCCTCTACCTTCAGGTCTGGAAAGTTGTCCCTATCCTGCTGGACTGTCTCTATCCTCCTCAGGTATTCCTCGTCTTCGAATGCTGTGGTGTCGAAGTCCAGGAAGTCGATCGCCTCTACGTCAAACGGACGAGACAGCATATCCGCGACAACGTTGTCCTTCCCCTTGCGGTGCTCTATTTCGAAGTCATACGCCTGGAGAGCTAATGACCATCTAGCTTGTCTCCCATCCAGCGCCTTGAACTTCATCAGCCACTGCAAGCTTGCGTGATCCGTTATCACCGTGAATGGCATCAGCTCTACGTAAGCCCGGAACTTCTCTATTGCCTTCACCGCAGCTAAACACTCTTTTTCAGGAACGCTGTAATTCAGTTGCGATCGGGTCTTCCGCTCCTTCCTTCTGGAAGAGAACTGCTCCAATCCCCACGTGGCTCGCATCCCACTGGATAAAAAAGTGTTTCTTAAAGTCCGGGTGGCGTAACAAGGGAGCGCTGGTAAGTGCTTTTTTTAGCTTCTCGAACGACTCGCTCGCTTCTACCGTCAGCTTAAATGAACCTTTCCCTTTCAGGCAGTCTGTGAGAGGAGCTGATAATGCCGAGAAATTTCGAATAAACCGGCGATACCAGCCGGCAGTCCCCAAAAATCTCCGAATTTGTCGCACGTTCGTCGGCATCGGTATCTGCGTGATCGCCTGTACCTTCTCCGGATCGGTCCTCAGTGCGCCGTCGCCTACGATGTACCCTAGATAGTTCAGGTATTTATACACGAACCTCAACTTCTTTTTCCCGATTGTCAAATTTGCCTCATTGAGACACTTTGCCACCTTCTCCAACAGCTTCATGTGTTCCTCGAACGTCCGGGAAATGACTAGCAGGTCATCCAAATATACGAAGACATGGCTTCGTAGTCGCTGGGGAATCACGCGGTCCATTAATCGACACAGCCGCTGTGCTGCGTTTCACAATCCGAACGGCATCGACTTAAATTGATAGAGTGGTCTCCCTGGCACCGTAAATGCTGTATACGTTCGACTTTCGGGCTCCAGCTCTATCTGCCAAAAGGCGTGCTTCAAGTCAATGCTGCTAATGAACACGGTGTCCTCCACCCGGCTCAGGATCGATTCGATGCTCTGCAGTGGGTAAGCATCCTTTATTGTTAACTTGTTCAGCTTCCGCGCATCCAAACATAATCGGTTTTTTCCCGGCTTTCTCACTAGCGTCACCCGATTGCTTCACGGACTTTCGCTGAGTTCGATGACTCCTAAGCGCAGCATCTCATCAACCTCCGCAAACAACGACTCCTGCACTGCCAGGGATACTGGATAGAAGCGCTCCTTGACGGGTACTGCCCCCTCGACTAGGCGTATCTCGTGCTTCTCGATCTTCGTTCTTCCTAGACCGTGTGCATCAAACGACCGAAACTTCTCCTTCACTTGGTGTAGTCGTGTCTGTTGGGAGTATGTCAGCTCGTGGGGTTCCATCGGTCTACTCCTCGTCAGCAGTTCGGCCTCGATTTCAGCTACCTCTTCTCCTCGTTCCCGGCCTACTATCTGCGGCGCCAGTCGAAACTTCCGCCAGAAATCGACTCCCAGGTACAAAGGCTGTTTCAGCGAGGGACACAGGAACAATTCCATGGTAATTCCGTCACATGACCCAGGATTTGATGAGGCGTGCCTCCTGCGGCTTGTACTGAGGATTTCTTGGACTCTTGAAGTTTCAGTTCTAAATCGTCAATTAACTCCTTTCCACCTCTTTCCAGCAGGCTGACTGATGCCCCTGTATCGAGCAAACCCATCAGTTTCATCGAGCCCAGGCTAACTCGCGCAAATGGTCGGTCATCCTGGCTCATAGCAGAGCGGATTGCTGCACATATGCCGCGTCTCCTCCTCTGGCGTGCCTGGAACCTGACCCGAGCTCTCTGTGTTCTGGCTGAACCTGTTCGAGCGATCTCTTCCACCTCGTCTCCCATTATCCTCTTCCGGGTCTGCTCGTATCGATGCTGCCTTTCTGCTAACGGCTTACGCTCCGACCATCTTGCCCCAGGTAAGACTGATTGGTTTACCTTATATATTGTATTATATATATCTTTTTCCTTATTTCTAGGTACGATATCTACATGTAATTTTATATTATCATTGGAGGACAGAATTATTGGTTGTTCCTTCGCGGTGACGTGGAACGCGACTCCTCCAATTGTGTCGTGCTCCCTTTTCCGTTTCCCGGCCGGCATTTAGTACACTTAGGGAGGATTACCCCGGCTGCCCCACACTTGTAGCAGAATATATTCCGCACCGCCGCCTCACACTCAAAGTATGTGTGCCCCGGCTGAGCACAATTCCAGCACTTCAGCTGTGTGCGATCGCCCCCAGACTCCTTCGCCCTATATACGGCCTCCAGTGGCTCTGTCTGCTCCTCCAGCTCGTGGTTCGTCGCTTCTACTTCGTGCACTTTGGGGTCTTCCCTTCGCCTGTTACTCCCGTGATCTGTACCGCTCCTTGTCCATCGGGTTGACAGCAGCTTCTCGGCATCTGCACACTCTTCTCGTAGTTTCTGCAGATTTGGGATTTGCACGAGACTCTGACCACGAGACTTGGTACACCGTCTGCAAATGTTCCACTCGGAAGATGAACTCCGCCACAGGCATCCCCTTCGGATCGCCATCGAAGCTCAGACCCCATTTCCGGATCTGCACCTGCTCCTGCCTGACTTCCCCGTAACTTGGACGACTCCTGTTAGGGTTTGCGTTGGCCCCTGAGCCTCTGGTGTTGAACTACCAGTCATCCGGTGGCCGGTCATCCAGTCCCATAAGCATCGTGACTTCGTGTCCTGGCACCTGCGACGCTCGTTCCGGCCCACTGCCAACTTTCCCGTCCTGGGACCTAGTCGTCGGAATTCTGTATGGCTGGTACCTCCTCTGCACTTCAGTGCTTCGCCTAGTTTTTCCCGACCCTTTAAACACTTCCGGATCACTCATCAACCAATATATCTTTCCTTTACCTACTACCTAATCACCTATGCATCAATATATGTAAACTAACTCTACGTATATGTGTTGGTGCTAAATCAATTATCCTACAAAAACCTAAATACATAAATGGACGACGAGAGAATAAATAAATAAATAGTATAATAAATAAATACCCGATCACTCACACAAATGTTTAAATAAATATATGGTTTATACTCTAAATAAATAAATAAACACCTACGTAAATAATTAATCGCATAAATAAATAATACCATAAATAATAATTCCAATAAATAAATAACTCCTCTCCCAAAAAAAATAAATCCTTCTTCGCTGACCTACCTATTCCTTCTTTTAAAATTGCTACTTTACAATGATAGTGAGTATCTTCAGTCCTCGAGAATGACTTTTAAAATACTGATTCCAATCCAAAACACTTACGTCAACAAAACAAAAATCTTTCTTTCAGGCTAAACTAACTGGGCGAGACGAGGGACAACTGCAACTCACTGTTGCAGCAGGTGAGCGAACCAATCCGTTTCCATCGCTATTATTTTCCGCTTCTTTTTCTCTTCGGAGTGCCAACTCGCCTTGCTGTTTCTTTCCAGACCACAGCGGTTCCCCCCAGTCGGACAACGATGCTGATGCCCTCTCGGCATCGCACGGACCACAACCCGACAGACCCACGATGTCTTCCTTTTTTTCTGATCAGCTCCGTGGATTCCTCGAGTCGGAGAACGCTGCAAACGCCCCTAAGGCACTGCACGGACCACAACTCGCGAAATCCACTCGCCACCTCTCTGCGGCCTCCACGAATCGGGCAGCAAGGCTGACCACTTTTTCGCAGTCCCTGGACCACAACTCGGGACCCACTCTTCCATTTCTTCTCTCCTACTTCCCTCAACGGCTACTATGGCTCGGGTCTATTCCCGGCTCACGGACCAGCTGAGTTTCTCTATTCCAAGGCTCGATCTCAAACTGGGTGTCTTAAACCCCTCGTTTCAAAACCGCTACCTTCCGTTTTAAAATTGGGCCCCATTTGTTATGATCCGCCTTTTTGCCGCCCTGATATATCGCTCCCAGCTAGCTCTCTGGTAAGTCAGGGATGTTTTCGACCCGATACCCAGGGGACGGACTTAACAAAAATTATATATTGAAACATACAAAAAAAACACAAATCAAACATTCTTCCTGGTCTCGTCTTCATTTGCACTCTCTTTAGCGGGGGCAGCCGGTATTCTTACCCTTAGCGAGGCCCTCCCTTCCATGAGCGTTTTCGAAATCTGCGCTCCCATTTTTTTTATCTTGGTTTCGCCCTCTTCCCCGCTCTCGACTCACCCAACTACAGGTATCTACTCACTCATTTTTTTTTTCTTTTCAATGCATAGTTTATATTATCTCATTAATCCTGCCTAATATTAAACATTAATTCCTTTTTTTTTAATTTGAACTTATAAACAGAAAAAACTAAAAACACTGACAAACCAAAAATACTAGCAAAAGAAAATACGAAATCTATTCCGCCCCAGTTGGCAGCCCCATTTCATCGACAACAAATTAACATGAATCAGCTGAAAATTAATGTACATAAACGATCTTAAACTAAAAAGAGCTCTTGTTAGTGCAATAAATAAATAGGGAAGGGGGTGTCGTTCGGGGGAGGGAATAGTCTCCTTTTCCAATTTTTTTTGTTTTTTAACGAAAATCTAATTTGTTCTATAGCTGTTTTTATTTCTTTCTTCTCCTTTTTTCTTTTAAGTCTTTTTTTTTGTTTTGTGTAACTACTTGTGTGTTTGGAAAAACGTGGATATCATATATGTGTTTGACTTGAATGTGCCGGGAAAGGTGTTGGTTTGAGGTTTGGATATGTGTACGTGCGGGTTTTGGGTTAATGTGATGTGTGTGAGGTGGGCGAGTGTATCCCCATTGTGGTGATGTAGATCCGGCTCCTCCTCCAGGGGCTCTCCGGCCTGGTGTCGGCTGTGTCTGCTACTGCCGCCTCCTCCTTCCTGCGCCGTCGTCGTCCCCGTTGTTTCCTCGTAATGGCCGGGCTTCGTTCCCCCTGCCTTCGTGGTCACTGTGTTTTCTACGTTTTCTTTTTTTGTTCTGAATTATTTTATTTTTTTTGTCAACACACGTGTGCCTCGTTTGAACCTTTTCCGGAAACTGACCCTCGCAATCTAACGTACCAGGCAGCTGCGAGCAAGCTATGCGCACGTGGCAAAACAGGTGAGAGAGTTTTCGTTCCGATTCGACGGGACGGCAAAGCCCCTTGAATTTTTGGAGCAGGTCGAATGGTCAGCGGACATGTATGGGCTGGAACTGAATATGATCCCCAGGGCGATGCCCGAGCTGCTGAAGGGGCGGGCGCTTACGTGGTTGGTCGCCAACAATAAGCATTGCCAATCTTGGGCGGCGTTCTCACGCAGCTTCCAGGCGTTCTTCCTTCCGAGGGGTTATTTTGAAAAATTGCTCCAGGAGGTGAGAACGCGGAAGCAGAGGTGGGGAGAACCCTTCAAGGATTATATGGTGGAGATGCAGACGCTCGTCCGGCCATTGAAGTGCCCACCAGAGGAAGAGTTGGAGTTAATCCAAGAGAACAACATGCCGGGCCTAAGGATGTTCATCCGACCACACAGATGCAAAGATCTGTAAACGCTGATGACCCTGGCGGATGAGTTTTAAGCGCTGGAGAGGGATCGGGTGGAATTCCAACGAGAGGACCCGACGAGTCGGGCGAAGGCCAATAACCCATTCACCAAGACGGCCGGGACGGAGGTATGCCGACGATGCAAGGACGAGCCAGTGACCGACACCACCAAGTCAGCGGATCGGAAGCCAACGCAGCCAAAGGCAGAAGAGGCGACAGCGATGTAGTTATGACGAGCTGGGAACCGGCCCCCAAGAAGGCTCGACCAGTGGCGAAGCGGCCGGCGAAGCGGCCCTCAGCAGAGGCGGAGGAGCGACCGACGGTGAGGCGGCCACCGACAGACGCCGAGGAGCGAGAAGCCGAGGAGAAGCGGGTCGCGGAGTGGCGGCGGCGGATCGCGCTGGAGGCAGCGAAGGAGGCGCTGCGGCAGCTGCAGGTCTGGGAGGACGCGCAGGCGCTGGCGAAGAAGTTGAAGGCCACGCAGGAGGCGGAGCAGGCGGCCGAGGAGGCCAAGGAAAGGGCCCGGCGGTAGGCGGAGGAGCACCACCGGACGTGTGTGCTGAAGAGGTTTGCGGCCGAATTGCGAGAGAAGGAGCGGCAGAGGGCCGAGGAGAAGAGCCGTGAGGAAGAGGCGAGGCGGAGTGCAGAGGAGGAGGAGGGTCTGTGGCAGCCTTCCCCTCCGACGCCGGAGCCCGAGAGCCGAGGCCAGGCCACGCCGGAAGAAGAAGAGTGGCAGGAGCGACTACGCCGGGCGGAAGAGGAGGAGGAGGGCCTGTGGCAGCCTTCCCCTACGACACCAGAGCCCGAAAACCGTGGCCAGGCCACGCCGGACGGGGGAGCTGTGGCAGCGACGGCCGCGGCGACCTAGGTTCCCCAAGGGACAGGGGCCCCAAGCCTCGTCACAGCAACAGCGGCCGGGAGCGGACAAAATAAACAAAAAATACCTTTTTGAAGGCAGCGGGCCCAACTGCCAATTGGGAACAAAGCAAAAAAAAAAGGGTTGTACATTTGGTACCTGATCGCGATCCCAATTCCCAATGGCATTCGTATTTCCAAATGTGGCAGGCGCCTTACCCTCGTATCCAATTCCGCAAGGTTTCATAAAGGACTTGCCAAATCTTCCGTTGGCTGACCCTTCTTTCCACAAAAGCTCGTAGATAGATGTGCTCCTAGGTGCAGATATCCTTCCATCCATTTTGCTTGGCGGCTCTCAACACATTTGCGGATCACTACTCGGACAAGAGACCATTTTTGGATGGATCCTTACCGGACCAGTAGCTGAGTCAACTGACCTCCAATTTCCCCATTTGCTCCAAGGATAAATGTCAGCACAGAACAGCGTTTAGAAAACCTTCTAACGAAGTTTTGGGAGTGGTGACCTTCCATCCAGTTGGGTTGAAGATTCTTCGGAGTCCCTCCGCGAGGCAATATTGTTCGAACCACCCGTAGAGATGCAAGTGGCAGTATACGGTGTCGTTGCCTTTTGAATCCCGAAGCATAAACTTAGGGCATTCAAGATCAATTGCGCCAGCTCAGTTCCTGAAAAAAATGTCGGTTAAACGAAACGTTCCGTTGAAAGAGCAGTAGAGTCCGCAGAATGACTAGTTGATATGCGCCAAGTGCCACCAAGCAATGTTGATAATGATATCTGCCCCATCACGCTTTCAAAGCCGGACAGCACCACTACAAAATTGCGGGTAGTCTTTAACGCTTCCAGTAAGTCCTCGAACGGCAACAGCTTAAACGATATTTCCATCCAGGACCTGTTCTCAGATCCGATCTGACCATTCAGATACTTAATGGAATTCTTCCGATATGCCTTTGGTGTGACATCACAAAAATGTATCGCCAAATTACCCCCACCCTTTGCATACAAGATTCCAATGAATTCTGTCTAGGAATAAAAATGGCGAGCTCTGTGATTATGAGCTTACCACTGTTACGTTCGGGGTAAACTGCGCTCTTTTTTTGGCCATTCGTGCTGAAGGAATTGTGCAAGGGTCCTAAAGCGATTCCCACTGGCAAGCGATTATCAAAAAGGTATGCCGACGTTTTGGGGTGCCCACACAATACAAGGTGCAATCGCATCTATAAAGGAGCTCGCGCTGAACTTGACAGTGCGGGTTTTCCGCTAGGAAGTGGACTTCGAATGCAAAGCCGGTCCTCCAAGGTCATTTGGGACCATTTCCTGTGCCGATTTCCTTGAGATGGAGGACTCTAGTTCCGCTAAGCCTTAGGTATAGGTGGCAGGCGGATAGTGATGAATTCTTTTTTCGGTCATCCGGGGTAGCCATAAGCTCCTCCTACACAAAAAGAGAAGTTCTATCCCAAATATCCAAATTATTCGATCCAGCAGGATGGCTGGCTCCCTTCATAGTCCGAGCAAAGATCTTTATGCAGGAAATCTGGCTTAAAGAGCTCGGGTGGGATGACTCTCTGCCAAAAGTCCTCCTCACAAGATGTCAGGACTTTCTCC